ACCCTGTAGCTGAATTACTTCTCCATGTTCTGGATGCTCAATTACAGTACCACTGCAGGTAAATTTCTTCTTAAACACCTTTGCTAGTTTCTTTTTACCGTAATCATCAGCGCTCCCTTGGGAAGTAGGAAGGGCCTTCCTGCCGTTTCTCTGTTGAATTCTTACACGGATATAATCCTCGTGCCAGCAGGAAGCAGATCATCACCCTTACTTGCATCAGCAGAGGGGTCGAAAGAGTGGAGGTTCTGGATAGCGTACATAAAATACGATTCCTTTTCCTCTGTGGAAAGGGCCTGCAGAAGGTGGCAGTGGGAGAAGGCGGGCAGGGGGGACGGAGTGTCGGGAAGCGAGGGGGCTCAAGGGGGAGGCTGCTGAGTTCTCAGTGGGGCTCAGTGACTGGGGCCAGGACCTGCCCCATTCTTGTCATCCTGATCTTCCCCATGATCTCATGCCTCCAGAAGACGTTCTGTTTTTTCCCCCAAATGATTTCTTATTCGCATTGTCTCCAGTTTGTTTGAGATAGAAAACTAAAAAATCAGTTACTGTAGAACATCTGTTTCAACTTGCATCTGAAATGTGTGTAAACGAATTGTGGATTTTGAAACTAGTCTGAACATCCTTGTCAAATCGTCTTTTATTAAGATGTTTTGTGTCTTCCGTAGTTGATAAAATAAGCTGAAGGCATTTTGGTGGCTGGTGTGATTGCTTCTCTGACCTCCATCTTAGAAACAAGTTTTGTTTTTCATAAAATATTTCCACAGATTAGATATAACTTGAGTCGTGTCACATTTGTATGTATTTTGTCAATTAAGAAAAATCCAGTTGTAATAGTGTGAAGAAATGGAGGCAACCTGCTGTCATTTTGGAGACGGGCAAGGCAGAGTCATGGGGGCCCGTAACACACGAGTGTGGGATGGAGTTAATTTGATTAGATCTGAAAGGGCAGATTTTCCTATAATGGTATTTTCTTAAGCAGGAAAAGTTACATGGACTATTGGAGAGCATAAATCCAAAGTGTTTCTTTTTTCAGGAGTGCGGAGTTATTTAAATTGGATTAAGATTCACTTATTATTTCATATCATAACAGAGCAAAACATTTCTTAACAATGCGGTCACTTACTCAAATGAAAGTACAGCACAGTTCCGCCCTCCCCAAGAGTGAGGACACCAATCCCGCCAGGACTGCGTTTTTTTCCTGCTGTGACCATGACAACCAGCTGCGTCCCTTTGTGACAGACCCCCAGACAGCAGGCCCTGGCACAAACATTTGACTTTCTTCAAGGCAGTAATATTAAAGCAAATTCCTTGTCTTTGCCAAACATAGGACTCATTGTGAGGAACTTCCAGCTTCCTTAGTGAGACATTTTCCTCTATTATCCAAATTCTGGGGTTTGATTTGTACCCCTTCTGAAACCTGACTCTACTGAGCAGCTTTTTAAACAGAACTCCTGCTAGTTTAAATGTGATTGTGGGCCGTCTCTTCCCATTTTCATCTTCTTCATACGGCTCTTGGGTTTCGACCGCGTGAGACCTTTCCCTGGGTTTGCTGTGCTTGGCGGTGATGATGGCGCTTTCTGCAGCTGCCGGTGCGGCTGCCAGGGCCCCCCCTTGTGCCCTTCTTCTCTGCTTATTACACCTGTGGCTCTTTGAGATCTGGGACCGGTCTGCCAACCGGTTGGCATTGGCTAAGCTCTAGGATTCATGCTAAGATTGAGCTGCCACCTTGCGTGGAAACAGCCTGCACCAGGGCACCGGTGCAGGGAGACTTCCCGGAGCTGGAATTTGCTCAAACCCCCCACTGAGCAGCTGCCTTCTCCCCCCCTCGGAGAGGCGCTGTCCTCAGCACAGAAAACCCAGAGCTCTGATGTGGCCTGAGGCAAGTGCGCTGCTGTGTCCCTGGCGCCAAGGAACCTGGTCGGGTCGCCTGAGCCTGATTATTGGAGGGATTTATTGTTTTGCCTCTGCACACATCTGTTTCACTTCGTGTGACTTTCCTCCGTGGCACCAAATCTGTAACCGGATGGTTAACTCGACTCAGGTGTTGGCAGCCTCTTTTCTGTGGAGCGTGTATCTGTGCCCCTGAGGCCCCTTCGGCCCCTCTAAATCCTCCCATAACCTGCCCTGCCCTCCGTCCGGACTCAGCTGTCTCAGCTCAATTTGCTGACGCTCCTTACTGGCCAGGCCTGCCTTCCCACCTGCTGCGGACAGCCCGGTGCTCCCCACACCGTGGCAGGCTGTGGCTGCTGCTCTTTCTCCTGGCGCTACCCCAGCACGGCTCAGTGGGCACGCAGCCACTTTTTCCAACCCAGTTGTAAGTCGTAATCACTTTGAAGCCAAAGACTTTTTAAAACATCTATTAAAACATAACATCCGGGACAGCTGCGAGGCTCAGTCGGTTCAGCATCTGTCTTCAGCTCAGGTTATGATCTCACAGTTCGTGGGTTCACATCAAGCTTTGTGACAGCGTGGAGCCTGCCTGGGATTCTCTCTCTCTGTCCCTACCCACCCCTCCTCAAAAATAAAATAAACACTATAAAAAAAAAAAAAAAGAGGGGGCGCCTGAGTGGCTCAGTTAGTTTAGCGTCCGACTTTAGCTCGGGTCATGATCTTGTGGTCTGTGAGTTCAAGCCCCACGTGGGGCTCTGTGCTGACAGCTCAGAGCCTGGAGCCTGTTTCAGATTCTGTGCCTCCCCCTCTATCTCTGTCACTCCCCTGCTCATGCTCTGTGTCTCTCTCTCTCTCAAAAACAAGCTTAAAAAAACAAAACAAAACATAACATCCGTAAGAAAAGTGCACTTATCATAATTGTCCAGTTCAGTTAATTTTCACAAACGGCCAGCACCATGTCACTGGCACCCGGAGGAGGAGCCAACATCACCCACCCTCAGAGACCCCCATCTCCCTTCTGGTTCTGCCCTCTTCCCAAGGTGACCTCCCGATTCTGGATGAATTTGCCATCCTCGTGCACTGTGTGAACATCACCCGCGTACATGGGCAGCCCAGGGATGTCCATTCTCAGCGTGGTGTGCTCTCAGCTTTTCCGTTCTACGTCGGGGATCTGAGGACAGTCACACCTTGTGAACATGGGGTCTGCACCTAGCAGGGGAGCCCCTAGGTGTGTGCATGTGCAGACATAGTAAACGCTGGCAGTGACTGGAACCACCACTGAGAGATACATTCAGCTAAGTACTGATAAAGCATCCCGTTCGGCGAGTGCTTAACAGCCAATCACACGCGTGTCACTGCTTCGCATCTACACAGACATTTCCATTCAGTGACGTTTTGATTTTTTTGAAAATATTCCCCAGGGTTAGCTTTGTTATACTCTGAATGGTTGCTGAATTTGTTTTCCTCCAGGGAGCAGTCCCTCCTTAACACACTGGGTCTGGGTGGGCTCTTTGCGTCCCAACGTAACACTGACTGTGTCTCCATCCCTAAAGATGGGACACGGTTTTCCCTTCCCTTCCTTCTCACTCCGTCTAAAGCCAACTGGATTTTACCTGCTGGGGTACCATGTTTTGAGCTTCCTAGTAGTATGTGTTACTCTAAGTTCAGGAAAGAAAATACCATCAGAAATTGAATTATAAAAGCCTTTTCTTTTTCTTTTTTAAAACAGTCGGATATTCTAAAAATCAAGCAATAGCACAGAGCTCGGGGTCTTACCTTTGCTTTTTGGATTCGGTAAGTAACTCTTTGTTCTACTTAAAATGTGTATATATGTAGTGGTTGAATAATTAAATGACCTTACATTTTAGTGTGGTTCTTGAAAATCATTATTCTAATATATAATGATCAGACTTAAAAGTTAAGGTTCATGGGCTCTTGCTGTTAAATTGCAAGAGCACATAATGAGTTAATTAATTTTTGATAAATAGGATGGCATAAAAATACAGAATTGCACAGCAGAGAATCACATAAATAAAACTGAAGATAAACTGGGACAATGTGGATAAGCACTTAAAGGATGAACAGCCTTAGGGAGACAGAGGTCACACAAGTTATAAGGAGGAAAGGTTCATCAGGAAGGAGGGGAGCAGTCAGACTGCAGCTGAACTCTCACAACCTTTTTATCACTTGTGACCAAGGAAACACAAGTGACATTCGTGAGATACGAGCTTTAAAAACCAAGTTAACAGGGTTTTCTGAGGTGCGTATACTCAGTATTTGCAAAGTGTGAACTGGGGGCGTCGGCAGCATAATTTTGCATTTTGTATCAAGAACTTAAAAAATGCTCATGCCCTCCACTCCTAGATTTCACTTGTAGGGATCTCAGAAATTCTGAAAATGATTTGTGTGCAGTCTGTACATGGGCATTACTACGTTAAAAAGCATTTTCAGTAACATGACAAATGATTACAATAGGCGAAGCATCACTGCACAGTGTGTATTTCAACCATGGATTTTCTCTTTAATTAGCTTATTTTTTATAAATTTTTTTTTATTTGAGAGAGAGAGAGAGAACGAGAGAGCATACATGTAAGCAGGGGAGGGGCAGAGAAGGGGAGAAAATCCCAAGCAGGCTCCAGACTGTCAGCACAGAGCCCGATGCGGGGCTCGATCCCACAAACGGTGAGATCATGACCTGAGCCAAGATCACAAGTCGGACGCTCAACTGACTGAGCCACCCAGACGCCCCTTTCTTTAATTACCTGAAAACCCACCTTTAGAGTGTCTGTCTGCATGCAGTCTCCCCTTGGGCCCCTCTGGGTCTCGGGACACAGGGTACCCACCTCCTCTGGGCATTCCTTAGGGGGTTCTGTTGAGCAAGGTCAGCTGTGTGTCGGAATTTCTGCTCGTGCTAATTAATCCACCTATGAACCTACTTTTCTTCTCATACTGGCTCAGCCTTTCCCTTGATTACCAGGAACACGGGGTGGGAGTGGGGTGGGGGGAGGTTTGGGAAGAAGTTTGCCTGACAGACAGCCCTGCTCTCGAAGACAAGCCCCAGGGCTGTGGTTCCTTTTTCTTAGACTAAAACTCCCTTTCATTCCATCATCTCCTCCCAGACCCTGCCCTGGGACCTGTTTTCACTCTCAGATGGTCTGTCCAACATTTTCCTAAACAAAGACAGTTTCTACTGAAGACAGTCACACCCACCATGGTCCACAGTGAGCTTCTTAGGGCCTTTGAGTGAAGGGAGGTGGTGATTTTCTTGTTCTCCTTTAGGGCTGCTCTTTATGAAATACTGGACAGTGACAACGTGTTCTCTTGAATGGCCATGGATGCGTTGCTGTGTATGTGTTCCAGAATCACTGGCAGGATTCTGGAAGCTCTCTCGGTGTGCAGGCTCCACATGGACAAGGCCAGCAGGACTCGGGAGAAGGAGAGAGGAGGGCTGAAGATGCCCTCTACTCTCTGATATCCTGTGCAGCTTTCTCTCTGTTCACTGGAGAGTAGGAAAGAAAACGTAGGAAGGCCAAGTTGGACAAGGTGGAGCCCAATTTAGAACAGTGAGGACTGCAGACCAGGGAGGCACTGAATAAACATGCTGATGGAAGCCAGCATAGCCACCACTGAGCTGGCAGAGGGCAGGGCAGAGAACCAGGTCCCTGAAAGTGCCCTTCCGCAGTGGGCAGGGAGAGGAAGAGCAAGTTGGACGTCTGGCCCCATCACTCCCAGAAACTGTAGGGAGGGAGGCAGGCAAGGGCTCAGAGCCACAAGGTCCCTGCTTCCAGGAGCAGGAAGCCCCCAGATTGGGCATCACGATGTCTCCGTTCTGGGCGTGGGCGTCTGAAAAGATGGTGATGCTGAAGTCTCACCAAGAAGACTTGCCCTGACTCCAGAGATTTGACTTGTTCTCAGGGTTTAGTTGGAAGAAATCAGGGCAGTAAATTTCGGTGAGCTTTGCGGTGGAATTTGCATGACCACCTTGCTGTCCTAGCCAAGGGCCTGGAGGCACAGAAGGGCCCCACAGTTCCTGGCTGAGGGTGGAGTAAGATTAGCAAACAAAAAGTCTGGCTTTTAAAGAAGGTAGCCTTAGGCACATATTGTGCATCAGGCCTGGGGCCTGAGTCCCTGGAGGTCTGTGGAAAAGAGGGCTTGTAACAGGGTTTCGTGGGGGGGGCCTGCGCTTCCTCCCCAGGAGTACCCCGCCACTTTCCGCCACCGCAGAGAACCTGTCTGCGCCTGCTTCCCTGGGGACCCCGGCAGTGGTTAGCCACCAAGGAACAGTCTGTCCTGGATGGCCACAGCCCCCAGCAGGGGCTGCAGGCCCGAGGGGATGGCTCAGGGGATGCCCTGTCTTCCAGGAGGTGTGTTGGTGTCCTTAGTAAAGGACAGAGACAGGCCGTGCACCTGTGCTGCCCTCCGGTGTGGGGATGTGCCTTTGACTGCTGCCCCTGGCGCCTTTTCTCTGTGCACCTTGGTTTTATTTGTTTAGTTTCTGATCTTGTTGGGTTTACGTCGTTTCTAATGCTCATTACATTTCAGCCTTTCTTTTCACTTTTCTCATGTAAGGTTTAAGACGATTCATTTTCTTGTGGTGACCGTGGTGGGTGCCCCTCAGTCCTGAATAGCATGGTACACTTTTTAGCTTCCGTTGTGATTTCTTCTCCTTTTTAAGTGTAGACCTCAGGATTTCAGGAGCAGAGAGCTGAGTCAGTCACGAGCCTTGTTCAGGACACGCTCTCACCATGTGTCGTGCGTGTGTGGTCTGGTCGCTGTGTCTTGACTGTGTCGCCTAGAGCTAGAGCCGGCTTGCGCTCTGGCCCTACCCCTGCGGAGCTCTGGTATTTATACCAATCTGGAAAAGTTCGTTAAAAATTTCAGTTGTTTTCATGTGAGGAGTATCAGGCCGTGTGTGATATTTTAAAACTTAACGTTGTTAAGATGTATCCATACTGTTGTTGCCAATCTTTATAGTTCATTCAGGTTTTAAAAATTGAGGTGAAATTTATATACTGTGAAATGCAGGATTTCCATGTGAAAATTGTGTACAAGGTGAACAATTTGGTGAGTTTTGACAACTGTGTACCCCTAACACCCCAGTCAAAATACAGAATGTTTCCACCACCCAGAATGTGGGCCAGAGAGCACTGCGTGGGGCTCGAATCTGCAGGAAGAATCACACAGCGTGCCCCCTTGTGTGTAGCTTTTCGCTCGGCGTAACGGTTCTCCGTGGCATTTTGTATGTCGGCAGCTTATCTTTTTATTGTCTGTTGTGTGGACGTGCCACAATTCGTTTTTATGCTGTACTGTTTACTGACATTTGGGCAGTTTCCTATCTGGGTTATTTTAGCGAAAGCACCGTGAACATTCGCATCCAAGCCTTTTTGTGGACTGCGTCTCCACCGCGCCTGGGAACATACCAAGGGGTGGAGTTGACAAGTCACAGGGTGACACTTGCTTCGCCTTCAGAGAACCTGCCGAGCCCAGAGGCTGCCCTGCGCCCGCGTGGCGGCTCTCCACCTTGTGGTGCTGCGGACGCTGTCGGCCTCAGTGCCAACCATTCAGCAGACGTGCCGTGCGTCTCGTGGCCGCTGCAGTTAGCGCTTTCCTGCTGCCGATGATGTCGAGCACCTCTTCTTGGGTTTATCGGCCGTTCATTTCTTTTGTGAAATGTCTCCAAATCTCTTGCCTTTTTTTTTTTATTTTTTTTTTTTTCTTCAACGTTTTTTATTTATTTTTGGGACAGAGAGAGACAGAGCATGAACGGGGGAGGGGCAGAGAGAGAGGGAGACACAGAATCGGAAACAGGCTCCAGGCTCTGAGCCATCAGCCCAGAGCCCGACGCGGGGCTCGAACTCACGGACCGCGAGATCGTGACCTGGCTGAAGTCGGACGCTTAACCGACTGCGCCACCCAGGCGCCCCGCCTTTTTTTTTTTTTTAATGGGCCATTCATCTTGTTACTAGTTACGAAAGTTCTATATTTTGGATGCAAGTCCTTTGTCAGATTCCTGTACTGTAAATATTTTCTCCCCACTGTCACTTGCCTTCATATTTAATGGTGTCTTTTGATGAGCAGAACTTCTAAATTTTATTGAACTTCGATTTAGAGGTTTTTTTTTCTTTTATACTTATTTTTTTTTCTAAGAAATCTCTGCTTGCCCCAGAGGAGAAACTATTGTCATATTTTTTTCTAGTAGCTTATGGTTTTTACTTTTATATTCAGATCATTGTCTATACTAATTTCTGTGTGCAGCAGGACTCAAGGCTAGTTGGTGTTTATGTGGGGACTCGGTCACAGCACACTTCGTAGAAGACACTGCCTTTTCTCCGTGGAGTTGCCCCAGTGCTCCTGCCGAAAGGCAGTCGGCACACCAGTGCGGGTTCATTTCAGCCCCTGTCCTGTCCTGTTTGTGTGCGGCCCGCACAGCACTGCACACACCGATGGAGTGCATGTGCCCATCCCCCGGGACGGCTGCTTCCAGCTGTGTCACAGTCTGTTGCGGGAGCGAGGGCGCCTCGTGCGGCCATCTGGGGGAGGGACGCAGCGCTGCCGTTGCGCGGCTGCTCAGAGCCCTGGCTGTGGGTGGGTCCGCAGCCCCTCAACACTCAGTATTGTCAGTCTCTTGACTTTTGCTTGCGCCTCACTGTCTCGACCTGTGCCTCCTGATCGGGAATCGTGGCGAGAACAAGCTCGGTGGCTCCCTTTTCTTCGGACGTGAGCTTTTGTCTTCTTGCCCATTTTTCTGTTTCAAACGTAAAGAAAAGTCGCGAAGACAGTACGAGAGCTCTGGT